CAGGAGAAGAAGATTAACATTTAACAGGGATGAGAGGTGGGAGGGAAAGGGAGAGAGAAGGGAAATTGCATGGTAATGGAAGGAGACCCTCAGGGTTATACAGTGGAGGAGGTAGAGAGAGAGGAGAGGAGGGGAGGGGAGAGGTGGGGAGGGGGGAGGGTGGAGGACGGGAAAGGCAGCGGAGCACAACAGACACTAGTATGGCAATTTGTAAATCAATGGATGTGTAACTGATGTGATTCTGCAATCTGGGTATGGGGTGAAGGTGGGAGTTCATAACCCACTTGAATCAAAGTGTGGAATATGATATGTCAAGAAATTTGTAATGTTTTGAACAACCCACAATAAAAAATTAAAAAAAAAAAAAAATCTTTGAGACCAAGGGTTGGGCTGGAATTGTGGCTCAGTGGTAGAGCGCTCGCCTTGCACATGTGAGGCGCTGGGTTCGATCCTCAGCATCTCATAAAAATATATAAACAAAATAAAGTATCGTGACCATGTATAACTAAAAAAAAAATTTAAAAAAGAAGAATGTAACAAAATAGAAACAAAATACATTCTATCATTGAAGGATTGATTTACTGGATTGTAACACAAATACATAACACAAGGCACCCATTTTAAACAGCCTTGGTCTATATTTATTGCTGTGAAAAGGTGCTTGAGATGTTGCATTTCCAAAACAATGACATCCTAAGCACTTATTATAGGACAAGATTATGCCTCTTATTATCTGTCACATTTTGTCTATGTGGTGAGTCCCCTCATTCAGATTTTCATTTTTGTAGCTGAGAACACCGTGGCACCAATTGGGTAACTTTTCCAAGATCACAGTGTGAGAGAGCCAAGGTTTCAACCCAAGCAGTGTGATTCCAGAGCTTATGTTCTTAATATAACCAAGGACAAGGTGATTCTCCTTTCTGGCTAAAGCTCATGAACTCAGCATGCTTATTAGTTGACATCCCCTTTCCACTTCAAAAGTCTCTAGACAGTAAATCATACAGGCACTCTACCAATGGAACCTGTGTGGACAGTACAGGTCAGTGGCCAAGAGTTCAGTCCCTAGAATCTAATTTGGGGCAACTTACTCTGTAAAATGGAGATAAAATAGGAACTACTCCACATAGTTGTAAAGGATTGAACAATTAAATTTTTTAAGTGCCTGGCACACAGTAAGCACCTTATTACTATTAATCCATTTATACAAAATTGTGTTTGTGTGTATGTGAGTTTGTACAGAGGAGATGTTTGGAAGGATGCTTACCAAAATAGTAGCAGGTGAGAATTAAAATTAGAATCCAAATTAAAAGTGTATTCTGATGGCAGCTATCAAGAATACAAACAACAAGAAGTATTGGCGAGGATGTGGGGAAAAGGAACCCTCATACATTGCTGGTGGGACTGAAATCTGTGCAGCCAAATCTGGAAAGCATTATGGAGATTCCTTGAAAAACTTGGAATGGAACCACCATTTGACCCAGCTATCCCACTCCTTGGTTTATACCCAAAGAACTTAAAAACAGCATACTACGGGGACAATGTTTATAGCAGCACAACTCACAATAGCTAAATTGTGGAATCAACCCAGATGCCCTTCAGTAGATGAATGGATAGGGAAACTTTGGTATATATATAAAATAAAATATTACTCAGCATTAAAAGAGAATAAAACCAGGGCCTGGGTTTATGGCTCAGCAGTAGAGCGCTTGCCTAGCATGTGCGAGGCCCTGGGTTTGATCCTCAGCACCACAAAAAATAAATAAACAAAATAAAGGTATTGTGTTCAACTACAATTGAAAAATAAATATTAAAAAAGAGAGAGAGAATAAAATCATGGCATTTGCAGGCAAATTGATGGAGTTGTAGAATATAATGCTAAGTGAAGTAAGCCAATCCTAAAAAAACAAAGCCCAAATGTCTTCTTTGATATGAGGATGCTGATTCATAATGATGATGGGGGAGAGTATGGAAGGAATGGTGGAACTTTAGATAGGGCAAAGGGGAGGGAGGGGAAAGAAGGGGACATGGGGGTAAGAAAGCTAGTGGAATGAGTTAGATATCAATACCCTAAGTACATGTATGAAGACAGAATGGTATGGAAATACTTTATGTACAATCAATGACTTGAAAAATCATACTCTATATGTGTAATATGAAATGAATTGCATTCTGCCATCATATATAACAAATTAGAATAAATATATAATTTTTTAAATGTGTATTCTGATACTTTCAAACTGGATTATGATTTAAATAAATACTAATTTATTAATATTTAGCTGAATATATATACATATACATATATGGCTATTCTGAACAAATGTATATATATCTCACATATTCTGACAACATTACAAGCCATGCAATTTTCATGTGAATCTATCTTGCTACACGGATGTGCTCATCTAAGCAATAGTATGGATTTGCTGAAGATAATTGAACAACCAAAATTCTTTTAACTCTTAAATTAATATGCAATTTGAGGCTGGGAATGTGGCTCAAGCGGTAACGCGCTCGCCTGGCATGCATGGGGCGCTGGGTTCCATCCTCAGCACCACATAAAAAAAATAAAGATGTTGTGTCCACTGAAAACTAAAAAATAAATATTAAAAAAATTCTCTCTCTCTCTCTAAAAAAAAAGATGCAATTAAAAATTAGATTACTTTTGGTCAGTATTCAGGTTGGATTTACTTGATTTAATTAATGCTGTTAAAGTGCAACCTGAAGGAAAGCCTCAATTTCTAGTTTCTCTTTCAACAAAGCATTTAAATATCTGTAAATAAAGCACCTAACGGGATCTTTGTCTGTACACATGAACAATTTGCACTTCAAACTTTTGATCTGCTGTGCGCACTCTCACCCTCCTGCACTGAGTTGGGGTCCCGGGGGAAGGAGGAATTCTGCCCTCTCCAGCACCCAGAGCAACGCCCCATGCGTGCGTCTCCTTCCACTTTCTATACAACTTTTAAATATTGGTTCTACGGGGGAAAACCAAGCTCTAGATATAGAAATTTGAAAAGTGCTTCCCTTTAAGAGAGGTTAGCAGCTAGGCACAATGAACCGTCTGAGTGGCATTTCCAAGGGTCTGTACAGATTCCCGAGCTGATGATGCACCTTACTTTATAAGTAATGTCTCCGTTTTTAAAGTTGACAGTTTTTGCTGTGTTTAATGGCCACGTGCATCTCGGGGCGCGAAAGAGCTGAGTGTTGTTTCATATAAAGGAATAAAAGTGCTTTCAGCGGTCTGATCCTTCTGACGCCCTCCTCTTTCGCGGCAGGCTCCATCAACCACTTAACCAGGTGTTGCCGGTACCCAGCCGGGGCACTTACCCGGCAAAGGGGCCTGACGGAAACTCGGAGCCAAGATGAAAGTGTCAGCAACTCCCTGCGCCTGCGAGTTAACTCTCGGTCCCTGCAGCAGCGCTGGGACCCAGGGAGGGCGGCAGCCCGGCAAGGGCCGGGGCTCGGGGACCCTAGCCCGGGATGCGGGCCTCTCTGCCAGTTCTCCAGCTGAGCGGGTCAGGCCAAGGAGCCGCGCGCCCTCGCCGGGCACACTGAGCCCGAGGCCAGCGCTCCCGCAGGGGCCCCTGGAGCCGTCAGCCCGGAATCCTCCTGGGCACTGCCCCACGGCTCTCAGCTGATCCGCTGCAGAGGATGCTTTGTTTCGAGCAATCTGGACAGCTCCCCCGCGCGCGGTGACCAGCTGTGCCCCGCGGGGAACCCCACCACGTCGCGCCGCGCTGTCTCCAGCGGTGCCTCACCGTGTCCCGCCGCGCCCTGCAGCGCGCGGTGTCCCGCGGTGCTCTCAGATGCCAACTCACCTCAGCTCCGGTCGGATGAGTTGAGTGTAAGTGAAGCATCGTCCCAGGACGATCTCGGAAAAGTGGCTGGTGGTGCCACGCCCGTGCCACTCCAAGAGCTCAGGTGGCGAGCGCACCTTCAGGACCACGACCGCGACCACCACCGCGAGGCTCACCACCAGCAGCCCGACGCCTAAACCAATCAGGGCTTTCTTAGAGATCTGGCAGCAGGGTTCCTCCCCTGACCTCACGGGGCTGAATTCGTAGCTGGACATTGGGCTGAATGCAGGCGGCTGAGCTAAGCTGAAGGAGAGACCAGCTGGAGGCTGGGCAGGAAGAGAGGAGAATGTGGCCGGTCTGAGACTGCACCTCCCCCTGTGCTTTCACTTGTCTCTTCTCGGCTTCCTTTCCCACCCCAATCCCCTGCTTCAAAGTTCCGCGGGTGGGTGGCTGGACCAATAAGATGTCAACCACTTTAGCCTCTGGCTTCCAGACTCCTGAGCTGTTGAACCAGACTCTAAATCTCCGAAGAGGAACATTGCTGACACTGTTACCCTCTGCAGATGCCTGAATAACAGAGTGTGGCCTTACACTCCTTGACCAGCACCTTCTATCAACCTTTCCCTTCACACTTGAGCTGTGTATACTTCCTGAAGTGTGAAGGCACCACATAGAATAAATAAAGGTATTGTCTCTACACATGAAGGGTTTTTATGGACTGTTCTGTGTTCACACAATGCCTTCTCCCTGGGAGTGATTACCCTACCTCTACTTCTTATCTCCAACAAATACCTGCTCCGTCACCTTTAAAGGCCCAACAGAGTCTGTGCCTTTTCTCAAGCAATCTCAGTGACTAAGCTTTAGTTTCCCAACCAGCCTTAGTTGAGTAACTGGGGCAAATTACTTACCCTCTAAGTAACTTTTGGGATGTAAAATGGTGATAATAGGAGTATTTACTTCACAGAGTTGTTATGAGTATTAAGCAAGTTAGTATTTCCTGTGTGTTTAGCACCATGCCTGGCACATGGGAAGTAGTCAGTAATTGCAGGCTATGATCCCCCTGCTCCATGAGGCTGCCAAGGAGATGAAATTTCATAGTCCATGGCTTGTGCTTGGGTTGGTATCTGACTCCATTCCAAGTCTAAAAGTAATCGACTGACCTTACCTGCTGCTTCTTCCTCAGTTGTATATCTGTGCCCTTAAGCACAGACTCATGTGAAGGACTGTGCCCCAGAATTTCCATGGGGCAAATGCTTTCTAGGCAGAGAGAATGGCCGATGCAAAGGCTCTGAGGCAGAAAGACCCTTGACCTGTTCCAGGAGCAGCAAGGACGGTCATTGTAGCTAGACTAGAGGGTGAGGGAAAGAAAATAGGAGAGAAGTTCAGAGGGTAGCGGGGAGCCGGGTCATCTGTGGTTCTGTAGGACAGGGTAAAGGATTCTATGAATTGGGCATTTTACTTTTAATCCATTAGTGGTCACTGAGTGACTTTATCTGGTAGGATCTTTTAAAGGTGCAATCTAGCTTTGGTACTGAGAATACATTGAAAAGGAGAGAAGGGATGAGAAATATGGAGACCAGTTATGATAACTTTGACCGTGAGAAAAGTAACAGAGGGGCAAAGGAAAAAAAAATCAGAGTGTGACTAGTGTGACTAGAGGTTGAAGGCAAGAGGATTTGCTGATGGACTGACTATGGCATCTGCCAGAAAGAGAGGAGTCAAGGATGCCTCTGGGATTTTTAGTCCGAGTAACTGACCAGAGGAGGGACAGTGTTGCTCTGTCTAGTGATAGGGAAACTGGGGTGAAGTAGATTCGGCTTTGGGAAGAAGGCACAGATGGAGAATTTCGTTTAGATGTATTAAGTTGGAGATGTCCCCAAAAGGAGACGTCAAGTAGCCAATTGGGTTTGATCACCTGGAGTTCCTGGGAGGGATCTGTGCTGCAGTCATCAATACAGGAGGCTTACAGACTGTCCTTAAACCTGGGAGGACAAACAAGCTCATGCAGAGCACGTGTAGAAACAGCAGAGTTTCAGGATCTCAACCACGGGGTGGTCCCATAGTAAATGTAAGGGAGATGAAGGAGTCCCAGCCAAGAGAGCTGGGAAGGTGACCCCTGAGACCATGCAAAGGTGACTTGGAAGTTCGCGGTGGTATGGACAAAAGAAAGCTCACAAGCAGCAAGAGGAATCCCAGCCACAGGCGAGGTGGGAGTGCCAACCCCACAGGGGAAAGTGGAGAACATGGTGTGGTGTGAGGGTCAGTAGATCAATGGATTTGGTGAAGATGCCATGAAGATCTTCTCTTCTGGTTGCTTCTCAGTGAAATGGAAAGGGCCCCAGGAGGAGGGGCTGGTGGAGTTAGAAGGAGACAGAGAAGTGGTGTACTGGAGAAATGGGGTGCCCTGAATGGTCAGGAACTTAAGGAAAAGCCAGTAAACAAGCTTGGGTTCTTTTGCCTAACCATTGTCCACTCTTCAGGGTCAAAGTAGCCAGAGGGTTGGATTTGATGGTGTGGGGTTTGTTGGGTATGGGAGACTTTTAGGCCTGTCACACTGGGTGGCTTAGCAGAAATTCATTGCCTCACAGGTCTGCAGGCTGCGTGTCCAAGATCAGGTATCAGCAGGTTGGTTCTTTCTGAGGCTTCTCTCCTTGGCGTGCAGGTGGTCCACTTCTCCAGGTGCCTTCAGGTGGTCTAGCCTGTACAACTGTCTGTATCCAAATTTCCTCTTCTTAGAAGGACCCCAATCCTTGGATTTGGGCCCACCTTGATGATCTCATTTTAACTTAGTTTTCTCTTTAAAGATAACTGCTCTGTCTCCAAAAATAGTCATTTTCTGAGGCCATGGCAATTAAGACTTCAATATCAGAATTTTGGGAGGACCTCATTCAGCCCCTAACACTGGCTAAGCACAGTGAAGTCAAGGAAAGACAAGAGTTTGAAAGTTTGAGCGAGGATAGGATTTTAATAATGGCCTGTGGCATCCCAGTGAGGCCAACAGGACGGTGGGAACCGTGAGTGACAGGAGGAGAGACCTCGTGGCCAGGAGGTCCCGGCAGGGCCAAACGGTTCACAGAGAAGAAGGTCATTTGTACTCAAGTGGATTCATAGGTGCTTCAGGCTCACTCCGTCCCAAACTGCATGATGATCCTCCTCCAGACCAACTCCTTTTCTGATCTGTGGCATTTCAGTAAGACCCAACATCTCCCCCATTGCTCAAGCTAGAAACTTCCTTTTCCACACATGCCCAGGAGGTTGGTTCCTTCTGCCTCCAAAGTATCCATTAGATGTCCGTTTTCCCCATCTCCACTAACTTAATCCACCCTCTTTCTCACCTAGGAGGGCCTTCCTGGCCACTCACCCAGTCCACTCTCCACCTACTCCATTTGTTCTCTGCCCCACAGCCAGGGTGGTGGTTTTCTTGCTAGCTGCCCCCTTTTTAAGATGTAACTTTTCCAGCCTGACTCTGATTCCCTCACTTCTCTCCCTGCTCTGGACACAGCCTGTGGACCCCTGTGGGCTTCTCTCGCCTCCACAGGCACCTCTGGCCCTGCTTTCCATGAGGTCCAGTCCTGCTGGTCTTCTCTGTGTCCTCATTCAGAGGGTCTTCTAAATATAGAATCTGTCTTTGGCCAACACCAAGGCCATGTCCTCACCCTGCTATTGCTACTGATCCTTTAGGCTCAACTGCAGCGTGACTTCCTCTGGAGGCCTTTCCAAACTGGGTGAGCTCTCCAAGTTGTGCATGCTCCTAGATGACTAACACAGATGCCTGTGATCTCCAGGAAACACATGCATCTCTGGTCTGGAGACCAGAAATGGGAGGGCCTCCTCCCCTCAGGAAGGTGAGGACAGGGACATCGCCTGCCCTGGCTTACCAGCAATACCAAGCTCATTGTGTTCCCAGCACCAAGACAATGCCCCCATGGAGGTGGCACTTGGGCAGTGCAACTCCCTTCCCACTCAACTTAGAGAGACTCCCTCTATGGATTTCTTCCAGAAGTCCCCTCTACACAAGACCAGGAATTTGCTCAGGGCTGGCTTGGCAACAACTGAAGACTTTTCTCTTAGTATCCTGGAACTCAAGTTGAAGTCCATAAATACTGGTTGAATAACTTAGCAAATGACTGACCACAGTTTTGCAGTTGGCATCCACTCCTCCATCCTTTTTGAAAAGTGGAGAACTGTACTCAGATCTGCTCCCAAGGCCAGCTCAGAACTACAAATGTGGATGGAATGAGAAACATTAGTTCATCCCAGCTTCGTCTCCTTGGCCCCTGCCACAGCTGTGCTGCCTTCTTCCTTTCACCCCTTGTCTCTGTGCTTTCTTTCATGGTGCCTGTAGTGAAAGGTTCAAAACCAGCTACCACACAAGCCTTGCCAGAGGCCTGTCACCCACAACAGCCCTTTAAAAATGGTATTTGTTTTGACAATAAATATGATAAATAAACACAGAGTAGAAGTCAAATAGACCAAAGTGGTAGATGTAGAAAATGTTTCTCACTCCTTGCCTGGAGCACTGTTTCGTAAGGTCATGAGGTAGGGCATTGGGCATTGGACTTTGTTCACATTATGACATATGTTACAAGCATTCCAAATCAGCAAATATTGCTATACCAATATTTTTTAAAAATGATTTCTAGTATTCCAAAGTGCAGTAGAGTTGACACTGGTGAGTTTACTTAGCCAGGTCCACACTGGTGGACACTTAGGTATTACTACATTAAATGCTACAATAACATATGAATACACATCCAGTTAAACTCCACATCATGCACAAGAATTGGATCCTAATAAGTTATACTCCATGTATGTATAATATGGTTAAAATACACTCAACTGTCAAGCATGCCTAAAAAGAACAAATAAAAAAGTGAAAAAAATGCTACAATAAATATTCTTGTGTCAGCATATTTTTTCACATGTCCAATACATATAATCCCCTAAAAGTAAATTTCCTAGGTCAAAGGTGTCAACACTTGCAGTTTTGAAAGACCTGCCAGCCAAAGAGGTGTACACCCATTGACACGTGGATTAGGAGTGCCTGGGAACGTGGGCTTCCCAACATTCACACAAGTAGGATTTGGGATTTGCTTTATCTTCACTTCTGGCTATTAATCAGCAGTGACTTGAGGGAACTTCAGCTTTTAGTTCCTCTTTCTCTTAATGTAAGGGACACTTGAGAAAACGAATTCTAAAAGGACCCTGTGACCCTTTCCTTCTGCTAGGGCTCTTGGTTTGAAATATATGTATTTTTCTTCCTGCACATAAGCTGCTCAGTTACAAGTGTCCAACATTCTGATACAAGCTTGTACAATTCTGAAATTGCACAAAAATTACACCCCCATTCTTACCACACCAGACAGCTGTGGTATGATTGGCGGCAAATTAGCCACATTTTTAAATTTCCATCGGCTCATCTGTAACAGCGGTACAACACAATGCCTACTCATCCAGTCGAGTGGGAACCTCTGCAGTACTCTACACACCTAGAATAGGCTGACGCTCACGCAGGGTGCTACTGTTATTATGGACTCGTTTGTAC